CTGCGCTAGGCAGTAGTGCACGAAGCGCAATTTATTTGTAAACAAAACAATAATTTTAAAACTCGATACATTCGTCAATTATAATATCAATGAACATTTATAATGCGCATTCCATCCTAGGATTCCGATGCGCATGACACCGTGTGACATTAAAACTAAATATATACACGACGTTTCGGGCCATGACCCTTCTTCATAGCAATACATATTTACGTGTGTACACATGCGCAATTATTGTATATATATATGTATAATTACGTTCACGTGTCTTTGTACACAAATGTTTATATATATTTACATCTAAAGAAAGAAATACGTACAAACATTGATAGATATTTACGTGGAATGAAGAAGGGCCGTTAGCCGAAACGTCGCCTCTCAAATACGAATTGATGAATCTAATAAGGGCACACACACACGCGGCGCTGTTACAGGGGAGCGCATGCGTCGAGCGAGTTTGTGAGTGCGACTTCAGCACCGCGGACAGCGGCGCCCGGGCTACACGTCACGTGCCCCACGCGACCACGGACGGGATGGAGGCCCCCCCCCCTCCCTCACACCCCCTCTCCTCTACCTCCCCCTCTACCCCCCCCTCTCCCCCCCCCCTCTCCCCCCTTTCTCCCCCCCCCTCTCCCCCCCTCTACCTCCCCCTCTCCCCCCTCTCCCCCCTCGCTCCCCTCCCCTCTCCCCCTCTCTCCCCCTATTCCCCCTGTCCCCCCCCTCTCCCCCCCCTCTTCTCCCCCCTCTCTCCCCCCTCCCCCTCTCCCCCCCCCTCTCCCCCCTCTCCCTCCCCTTCTCCCCCCCTCTCTCCCCCTCTCCCCCTCTCCCTCCCCCTCCCCCCCCCTCTCTTCCCCCCCTCTCCCCCCCTCTCTTCCCCCCCTCTCCCCCCTCTCCCTCCCCCTCTCCCCCCCCTCTCTCCCCCTCTCCCCCCTCTCTCCCCCCTCTCCCTCCCCCTCTCTCCCCCCCCTCTCCCCCCTCTCTTCCCCCCCTCTCCCCCCTCTCCCCCCCTCTCCCCCCCCCTCTTCCCCCTCCCCCTCTCCCCCTCATCCCCCCCTCTCCCCCCCACCCCTCCCCCCTATCCCCCCACCCCTCCCCCACACCACCTTAGCACAGATATCAATCTCCATCTGTGTGTCCTAAATGCAGACGAAGGCAAAGATCCCCCGTATAGCCTCGGCAGACTTTTTGGGGGAAAGTGCCGTTAGCAGCGAGCAGCACCCACGAAGGCCGGCACGGCACTCGAACGGGGCGGTGCGGGCGGTCAGCACCACCACCTCTCCCCGGCCGCCTTTGTCTCCCCAGTGCCCTATGTTCACACGCTGTACCAGCTACTCACTCGAGGCTGAGTCGACCTAGGGGAGGGCCCCCGGACCAGTTCAAACATTCCCCGCCGCTGTCTGCCGCCGTGAGCGGGAATCGAACTCGGGTGGCGGGGTCCCCTGATATTGAACCGCGCGGTAGCAAGCGGATGGTGACCGCGTCCCGGGACTGCCCAGCAGAGCAGGGGAGGCTGCACGCGACACGACGCAGAGGCGGCGGCGGTGGCGTTGGGGAGGGGGGTAGAGATTCGGGACTCGATGAGGCCCCTAGTTGGGGGCTAAAGCGATTGGAGATGGGCAGGCGTCGCTGCCGTGCCGGGTGAAGGAGGGGGCGGGAGGCGGGGTGGGTGTCTCCCACAGGCCCGCCGTGAAAACGGGGACCTCCGGGCGCAAGACGTTTCGAGGTGAGCGTCTCGGTGTCTGTCAAGGTTTGCTCGGGGTTGCTGATCGCTGTCGTAGCAGTTCCGATCTTAACAGACGGGTGCATTTAATCCAATGACGGATTATTATTGTTGTTGCTGTTGTTGTTGCGGATGGAGGGGTATACAATCGCCGCGTGAGTGCAATGGCCAATGCTGTGTCGTGTCGCCCTCGTCCACCCGACACAGTCATCGCGTTGTTCCACGCGCAACTATCGCCGCCGACCTCAGGTGGAGAGGAGCAGGTCTGTCGACGAGACAGATTCAGACTCTGTCTCATCGACAGACCTGCTCTGAGGACGGCTACTTGCGTTGTGGCCGAAACGTCGTGAGAATTGTATTTTATTATGTTTCATTTTTATTATTTTATTATTTCCCTTCTACGTGACTTTACCGAAAGAACCAAGAAGATGAATCCCAGCAGTCACGAAAGAAGCTTTAAATCGAAATTTGTTCATTCAGACTCTGTCTTTCCGACAGACCTGTTCTTCACCTGAGGACGGCTGCTTGCGTTGTGGCCGAAACGTCGTGAGAATTGTATTTTATTATGTTTTATTTTTATTATTTTATTATTTTTATTCTACGTGACTTTACCGAAAGAACCAAGAAGATGAATCCCCGCAGTCACGAAAGAAGCTTTAAATCGAAAAATATCGCCGCCGATTTTTTGCGAGCCGCTCCGAGCAAGCGCCACGGGCCGGCGATGCTTCTTAGACAGTGGAGACGGGGACAGATTCATTCGGAGCGCGACGTTTCACTGCT